GGAAGGACCGGGCCCAAAGCGCAGGGCAAGAGTGCCCCAGGAGCAGCGGGGGCAAATGCAAATTCCCATGAGGGCCCGGTGGACCCAGAGTGTGTCCTGAATCCACCCAAGCCTCACCTGCCAAGTCCACCCCGATCTGGGCCATGGCCACCTCTTCCCTCGAGTACTGAGTCAATGCCTCCAGGACTCCCCCAGCCCCCACTCAGCTCCAGACACATAGGCCTCCTCAAACATACCAGGCACGCTCCCACCTCAGGACCTTTGCACTGACTGTCCGCTCTTCCTGGAACATCTTTCCCCCCAAGTATGCCCGCAGCTCCTTCCCTTCCCTCTTTCAGGCTTGCTCGGCGTCTCAGAGGGAAGCTTTTGCTGACCACCCGCAGTCTAAAATGCCCACCCCTGACTCTCCCTGTTCCCCGTTCCCTGCCTTCTTTTTTCTCCGGAGTACTCAAAAGCAGCAGACACGAAGCACTCATAAGCTGACCATCGCCTGCACTCCCAGTGCAACGTTCATGAAGGCAGCTCCTGTCTTTTCCTGTTTTTGTGCTCTTGCACATCTCAGCGCCCAGAACAGTGTCTGGGAGGTATGCAGACAGTGCTCGGTAAACACTGGCTGAACCGGTGAGTGAGTGAGGGGGGCTGGGAGGAGGCCGCGGGGAGCAGAGAAGCACCCCCATCCCTCTGCTATCAGTCACTGCTATGCGGGGACGCGGGCCCAGGGCGGCCAGGCAGCCTCAGGCCGGAGCTGCCTCTGCTGTGCAGAAAACACCGATGACACAAAAGCCACCTACAGGCCGCAGCGCCCCTGCCCCTGCCTCTCCTGGGCCTGGCTACCAGCGCAGAAGCCCGGCCCTGCCCAGGAGCCCAGTGAAGAAGGTAGATATCCGCTCAGACTCTGGTACTGGGATAAGAGGCTAAGTCCCTGGGGGTTGGGGGAGGGCCCGGGAGGACTGGAGAGATTCCCAGCCGAGGGCAGCGAACACCAGCCCACGTGGCACCTTTGCACGAATTACGACCAGGCACCTCATCCTCCTGGCAGGGCTCACGGCCGACAGGCTAAGCAGGGGCTAGACTGTAGGGGCTCCCCCGGGGAGGCCACAGCCAGTGCTCCAGGGGCCACGGGACCAGCCAGGGGTAGAACTGAGGGGGGCTGCGTGGGGCCCAGGAGAGCCAGAAAGAAAGATCCGGAGGTGAAGCCTCGGCTGCTTAAAGCCGTGGCAAAGACTTCAAAATATCCAAAAGGCCTGCGTGGGATGCCCTCACACCTCGGTGGGCCACCGGATGGAGATTCCGGTCATCCTGGTGAGCGTCCGCCCTTGTGTCCCCACCCGCCACGCCACGCGGATCACTAAGGGCGCCCTCCCGCCAGGCAGGGGCCGGGCACCAGGAGAGGATGAGTCAGCTGCAGGCCTGTCCCCAGGCGCTGGGCCCGTGGATGGGCACACCCATCTCCGCCCCTAGAACGACCCTGGCTGCGTGCCCCTGGCCCCCGGCCCTTCCTGGTTTCCACTGCCCTTGGGGTGAAGTCCACGCTCTGAAGCCAGCTTCCCGGGCCGGGCAGGCTCACGCCCTGCCACCACCGGGCCAGCCTCACCGCGGGCCACGCCTGGGCGCCTGGACCACGCAGACAGGAAAGGGCTTAAGAGCACAGGCCTTGGAAAAAGGCCTCCGTTCAAATCCCAACTCCACCCTTTTGCCCAAGGTGGCAGGAAACCAAAGCCCCAAACTGAAAGACCCCCAAGGCTTCACTTGGACCATTTCCTCCACTAAAAGCAGAGCCTCCTCTCCATTCGGCACAATGACTCCTCTGCATCCCTCAGGGCTCAGCTCAGGTGTCCTCCAGAAGCTGGCCGGGACTGTGGGGCTGGGTCAGCAGCTCCTCTGAGCCTAGCCCTGACCATGGGGGATGGGGGGGGGGGATCTGTCCTTCGCCCCAGGACAAGTTTCTGGTACTGGGGACAGGGGCATGGAGCCCAGGGAGAGGAGCAGGAATCGGAGGCTGGTGTGGGGGGCTGCTGCAGGGGTCAAGGTAGCGGTTAGTGTTGAGGCAAGGGGAGGGATCAGTGGGTGGAGGAGTGAAAGGTCGGCACGGGGGGACGAGGATTGGGGCGGATGGTTGGGGTGTGTCGATCAAGCATGGGGTTAAGGGCCGGGGGCGCCGTGGGGGGTCGGTGTGGGGCAGGAGGGGTGGAGGTGGGCGCTGGCCTACCTTGGGAGCCCCGGGCTGGATGGAGGTGATGCAGGCGGGGTCCACGAGGGGCTTGGGCCTGCGGGCCGACTCCTCGATCAGGCTCTGCCACTGGCGGGGCAGCCCCGTGAACTTCTGCTCATGCTGGTCAAAGCCCGTGTGCACGCGGTGCTCGAAGTTGGATGGCGCGGAGATCTCTACCCGCTTCTTCTTCTTCCCAAACATGGCGCTGAGGCTCTCGGCACCACGAGGGTGCAGACGCGGGCTCCTATCAGCAGGCCTGCGGGAGGGGGCCACTCACCAGAACCCGCCCAGTCCTCTCTGCTCCTCCGGCCCTGCCCTGGTCCTGTCCGTCCTCGTCTCCTCCCTGGTCTCCCGTCTCCCACATGCAGCCCGAGGGACCCTGTGGACACCCGCCCCTGCTCAGAGCCCTCAGCCGAGTCCTCCCAGTGGCCCACCCCACACAACCTGCCCTTGTCACCTCCCCTTTGTTTACGCTCACACTGGTTTTCAAACCTCAGCGCCTTTGCACTGGCTGTTCCCTGCCCCTGGACACTATTCCCCAGTATCCACACATGGCTCCCTCCTTCCCCTCCTTCAAGTCTCAGAGTTGGTGAATCTTCAAGTAAAAGACCACCCCACTAGCCTTCCATGATATCACTTCATAACACATTTAACGTCTGGAAATTCCACTGTTCTTGTGTTTACTAGCTCAATGTCTATACCCGTCAGCACTGGAATATCAGCACCACAGGCCAGGTCTCACCTGCCCAGTGTCTCTGTGTCCCACCCCATTCCCAGAACCATGCCAGGCACACAGAGTGTGCTCAGTACCGATTCCTAAAGGCCTGGCCTCAGCCACCTCTGCTTTCCCAGCCCGGAATCTGGGCTAACCCCACACACTTTTGGCTACCTATCCAATCACGGTCCCTGTCCTATGCACGACCCTTAGGAGTCTCACCGCAACACTCCCACTTTCTAGATGAAGAGACCGAGACTCACAGAAGTGAGTTCACACAATGGGGAAAGTTCTGTGCAGCAGACACGAGCAGACAAAACCACGCCCGCCTTTAGGGGCCGTGGTCTCCAGGAGAATACTTAGCACAGTACCAGGCGAGGCATAAATGCTCAACGAAAGCCAGTTTTACAACCAAAGGGGCTGTAGGGGAGAGGCGCAGATCGCAGTGTCCCACAGGGAGACCAGGACGATGAGGGCAAGGGGAGTCAAATGGCCAGAGCACAAATCTCTCTCTGCCACTTACTATGCGTGACCTTGGGCAAGTGACTTGACCTCTCTGTGCCTCGGATCAACCCGCATAGGGCTGCTGTGAGGATTAACGGAGTTAATAGGAGCGGAGCCGGGCGTGGAGCGAGGGCCCTGTCCACGTGTGTGACTCTCATGAGTAGGAGCATTCCTTGCAGTGTCTGAGGGAGGAAGGACCCCGGGTCCTGCTCCCCTGTCCCACACATGGGCCCCAGAGTCCCACAGACCTGGTTTGATGCTGGCTGTGCTAGAAGTGCCCTCGGGCAGGTGACGTCTCCTCTTGGGGCCTCGAGTTACTCATCTGTAAAATGGGAAGAAAACATTCATTCATTGATTCATTCATTCATTCATTCATTCACCAATAACCCACTCCTCTGTGCCCAGTCACGTACTGGTTGATGCTGGGACACAGTGGTGACTAAGCTGGCCCTCTGACAGCCCAGAGCGGTCAGGGCTGGGGTCAGGGAGTACCAGACTGGCGTGAAGGATGGTAGGTGGGGGTCAGGGGAGGCTTCCCAGAAGACAGGCCGTATGAAATAAGGCCCAGAGGATGAGGGGAAACGCACTGGGCGGGGATCTCCGTCTGGTTCATGCTGGCCCGCCAGAGCCTGGCACAGTGCCTGACACAGGGTCGGCCCCAAGCTTAGTAAGTCTTGTGACCTAATGAGGACACTCTCAAGCGTGCCTGGGATGCGGCCCTTCAGCCCCCGGTTCTCCTCCCTCCCTGTTCCTCTCCTGTGGGAGCAGCTCTGTAAGGTTAGAACAGGCTGCCACCCCTAGCCCAGAGGTAGGACCATCAGTGGGTAGCCATCTGGGAGAACCGGTCTGGTGGCAGGAGCCCAGTGGGAGGGGGTGGGGACCCAGCAGACAACCTGTCTCAACTGGTCGGGGCCTCCTGGGCAGCAGGTGGCCACAGCCAGATCCGGCCAGGGCTCCCCGAGCAGGTCCAATTTCCCAGCTTGCTCTGGGGCCCCTGGCTGCCAGGAAGTGGGGTGTGAAAGCCCTGGCCAGGGCGGGTGCCCCTTTGCCTCTGCCTCTTTCCCTTCTCTGACCCCAACCAAGCCGGGAGCCCCTTCGATGTGTCTCCCCCGTTCCAGCCCACTGACCCCTGCCCATCCTTCCCGGGAGACTTCCATCCCCGTCTGGGCTCCCCAGCCTGTCTGCCCTCGGCTGTCCCCCCCTTCCTAGTACCCGTCCTCGCCTTGTCCCCACGGCCGGACCTTCCCCCATCCTCCCTGCTGTCACCCCAGAGCCTCGCCTCCACCTCCTCACCGTGTTCCCAGAGGTGCCCCCACCCGGCCCCAGGCCCAGCCTCACCCTCACCTTGGCCTCTCTCACGCAGCCCTACCCATCCTCCACCCAGCAGCCCACAGCCCGAGGCACCAAGTCACTCCGGGGGCATAAGATTAGCCACGTGACCCCTCACTAAATCCGGGAGAGGGAAGAGCGGACCCTGAGGTGGGAGGAGCTCAGCACGGAGACGGGGGGGGGGGGGGGGGGGGGGGGGGCGTGGGAGGCAGCCTGCAAGGTGGGACAGCCAACAGCCAACTCAGAACCCTCCCCCAGAAGCCCCAAGCCACCCTTGCACTCTGCAGCCCGCCTGTTTATCCTGCCCTCCGCTCGCGTGACCCCTGCAGGGGAAGGGGATGGAAGGACACACCTCCGGATATTTGCCAGGGGGCCACCCCTTCCCTCTGGGCACCTCATGGAGGGCGGGACAAACAGAGGAACTGGCCGTGTTTATAATGATCAGGCCCCGGCTCCACCCTGGGACAGCTCCCAGCTCTGGCGGCTCCCTTGCCCGGCTCCCCGCCCCCACCGAGTCCCCAGGCCCCTGAGCAGCCCGGCTGCTGTGCCCTGTGCCGCCTTATCTCCTGCCCCTGCCAACCAACCCACCTCGGGGGCTCACTGTGTGGCTGGGGGGCCGGCCGCTCGGCCACTCTGTGCCTCGGTTTCCCCCTCTGTTAAAGACAATAATGCCAGCGCCTGCTTCCTGGAGTTCCTACAGGAGTCACAAGTGAGAACACGAGGCCCTGACCGCCTGGCCCGAAAGCAGCTGTGGGCAGCACTGACCTGAGCACCCACTGTGTGCCGGTCCCTCCTCTAAGCACCCTGCCCAGAGTCCCTCATGTAATCTGCACACGTGACCCACGAGGAAGCAGCCACTACGCGTTACAGACAAGGTAAAACGAGGCACGGGGAGGGCACGGTCCACTTGCCCGGGTCACACAGCTTGGCAGCAGAGTGGGGGACACGAGGCTCCAGGCCTGTTAACCCGAAGCCCGTGCCCGGCCGGTTCTCGGAAATAAAGGCGGCTGCCCCCTCGGAGGTCCGTGCGTGCCAGGCTCTGCTCGGCGCCCTCTGCCCCCAGTCCCATTCCGCCCTCACAACCGACTGGCCCCAGTTCACACATGGGGAGCCTGAGGCCCGGAGAGAGGAAGTCCCTTGTCCAGGGCATCCGGGATTTGAACTCGGGCAGGCGGGCACCAAAGTCCAGGCTCTTCCCTGCCTGGCCTGCCCGGAGGGCCACAGGGACGCCCTTGTTTCCGTCATCATCGGCATCACCAGGGTGCCTTTCTCCCTCCCACTCAAGCCTCCAGTCCACGCCCACACCCTGCCCTTCAGGCCCTGCCCTGACCCTTCCTGGGGCTGAGGGCCCCCTACCCCCTGTCTGACCCGTCCCAGGCCCCCAAGGGTAGAGTGGGGTTCCTGCCCCTGCCTCCCATCCTTATCTGCCTTTACCGCAGCCTTCGGCAGGACAATCTGAAGCAGAAAAGACGTCCACAAACCAGTCCCTGCCACCAAATGTGCCACACTGAGGCTCAGCTCTGGGGCTTCCATCCCCGCCACCGCCACGAGGGCCCCCGTGGCCCTGTGCAGATGCGGACACGGAGCTCACGGACCCCCTATGACCTCGGTGGGGCAGCTATTCTCATTCCCACTTCGCAGATGTGGAAACTGAGGATCACAAGGGTGAAATCTCTTGCTCAGGTTACCACGCAGAGCTGGGCCTAGAAGACGGGGTCTACTACAGGGCCGCCCTCCTTAAGCCTTCTGCTGGCCCCCAAGCCTCCTCCGTGTGGCCCCATGGCCTGTACGATCGGCCTGTCACCTCTACCCCCTCGTTCGCTCTGCCCCAGCCACATGGGCCTCCTTGCTGTTCTTCAAACCCTAGACGTGTCCCCACCTCAGGGCCTTTGCACTGGCTGTCACCTCACCTGCTGGAACTTCACTCTCCCTGATCTGCACACGGCTCCCTCCCTCCTCCCGGCTACCCGAGTCTGTGCTCAAATATCCCTGCTCCTGTCCCGGCTCCCTCTATGCCTTTTTCTTTGCACCTGTCTTCTGTCTTGCTCCCCAGTGTACCCCGTCTACAACATGGCCCCAGCCCACACTAGGCGCTCAAGGAACCTGTGGTGAGTGAACTGATTCATCTGTACCCACTACGCTACAGCCCTGCTTGGACACCTCTGACTCTGCCCGGGCGGTCCCTGGGGCACTCTGGCGGAGATGTGCCCGGGACCCAGGGGCGGCGGGTGAAGCAGCAACGTCAGACAGAGGGAATAGAGGAGGACAGCGTGCAGATGCCTCTGAAGTCTAGGGTCTGATCCCAAGAACGCAGGCCCATTTTGCATTCTACTCTCGTACGGTCATTGCAATTAAAGAAAGTCTTTTGAATTATTCAGCATGTGGGACAGGCGGTTTCCAACCTGTCCCAGCAAAAGCTTCATTTTCTAGTCACCCCTGCATTCACTGGTTCTACACTCTGAGCTTTCAGGAGAAAATGATACCCACCCTCCCACCCACCCAAACTCTCCCCACCAAGGAAATCGGCCCCAGGGGGAGAGCAAGATCCACTTGTGGGACGAAGCTGTGTCTGGGGAGTGTGTGTGCGCGCGCGCATGCGTGAAACTCCTTGCCTCCTGTCCCCTTCCCTCCCCCCAGGCTCTGAATAAAGCTG